ACAGTTTTAAGCGGCTGCTCAAAACCCACCTCTACAGGCCTTTTTATAGATCTCCTTGTTTGTTTTCTCATCTGTCGTCTCTCTTTTAATTTATTCTTTCCCTCTTGTTTTATCTTCCTTATGTTTGTATTAATATGCTCACTATGTTTGTTTGATTGGGTATGGTTATACCCTTATGTTTATTTGTTGTTTATAAAACACTTGGTTGCTATATAAATAAAGCTTTACTTACTTACTTACTTACTTACTTACTTACTTACTTACATAGCCTATCTGGAGTTTGATCACGGGAGCCCAAATATTTTACATTGCAGGGGCAAAACTGAAACTTAATGGTGGGTACTGTGTATTGTCAAGATGCAAAATAATACTAGAATCCCACATTTCCTTGATTGACTGCACATCCCGCCCAAAGTGTCACTATGCCTGCGCATTGACTATTTAAAGAGCATTTTACCTCAATTTATATTATATACAGTATATATTTTTAATTCATGCAAACACATGTTTCAGGAACATCTGAGCGGTCAAATGAAACCTTATGGCAGAACAAAGAGGATTATGGCTGAATTTATTTGTTCTTCTATTGGAATAAAGTCCACGGCTATAATAAAATTGACAACTCATTAAGTTTTCTAAAGGGACCACTAGATGGCAGCAGAGCAGAGGAAATATACAGTGCTAGACAGATAGTTTGCCCTCCTAAAGACTGTTGTTAGGTGCAGCCCGGTGTAACACACGCTTTTAGATTCAAGTGCTCAAAGTTGAAGGTTTTACTTGTCACATATACAAGGGATATATGTTCTCAAATGCAATGTGGCATTCTCATTAAGGTTGGAATATAAGTATGAAGTATAAACAAATTATGGCATGCCCTTAAGGAAATTATTGAATAAATATATGTAATGGAACTTAAATATATATGGAATGCCATGGCACTGCGCCATCTTGTGTTTTCGATACCGGCCTAATTAAATTATTATTTCATAAGGGTGTTACTGCAAGAAGTGTGCCAACATTCACGCTGTTACTGTAGTGTAGCTGTATGTTCAAACACAATAGGAGGCAGCAAAAGACTCACTGTGTTTAAAGCAGGAAAGTCCGAAAATCAGCCACTGATCTATGAATGAATGTGGGTGATTCTTACAGTATCTGATGTCCACAACGGCTTTATATTGAATAAAAAGCTTCCTTCAGTTCATGAAGTCCCTGCAGCATCTGAATGCGTGGATGGATATGGTAAATTGTTTTAAGTGCCGCGCCAGAGCGCAGTGTCTTTACGCACGACATTTCGCTGAGTTTATCTTCATTAAATCGCCTGAAATCGACATCAGGCCGCTACAATATAACCACACAGACCTCTACACACATCAGACTGGTAATATAAGCGGTTTCATCAGTGTCTTTATTTTGCTACAGTATTTTATAATGGCCACCTATGATCTATATTCACCTTCCCCCAGCCCTTTTGCAGGTTGCGCTGCTGAACAGACATGGACCAAATTAGAAGGAGACGGTCATAAGACCTATAAGACCATAAAGGGCATTATATAATTATACAATTATATAATATATTATATATGGGATACAAATTCAAAGATGAAGAATTATAAACATATGATAATTTGTATATATGTCACAATTGCAGGCAAACTATACAAGATCGGAACAAAGCTGATGATCAGAGAAACAAAAAAACAAAGCATTTCCTTGAACTACTGGTGGGGCCTCCTGTTATGATCCTTTTCACCACAAGAGCAGAAGGCCTTTATAATCCCAAAAGAGACTTTTTCTTTCTTTTAAGAATTTCTTAAGATCTGTGTGTGTGGACCGTGTCAGATTCTCAATGATGGAACTCCCAGGAACCAGGATCCAAACAAGTGACGATATCCGTGTAAAATATCAGGTCTGTGTAGTTCATGTGTTGCTTCTTCCACAAACCGGCTTGTTGGTTTGTATGTACGGTAAGTGGTTGTTGACAGCCTCTACAGGGAACTACCTTAGATGTATTCATGAATTATCTGATTTTTTTCTCATTGTTTGATTAGTCTTCAGGTTTTGAGATAAATCTATGGAGCATTTGGGACCTATAATGGTAAACTGTATTTCCCATGTTTACTTGTATGAAAAGACACAGTTGTGTTTTATTTAATGTCATTATAATCCTAGAGATTTACTTTTATTTCTTCATGAAGACCAAGAGACTAAGAACATGTCTTTATTATTGAACACTTGCACTGGATGCATGGATGGATAGTGTGTACAGCCTTCCTTTCATCATGTTGGATGTATCAATCAATAATAACAATATAATTTAAGAAATAGTCAATTAGTTCTCAGGCAGGCAATGATCAATTCAGACTGCAGTGCAATAAACCACAACAATCACAATATTTCATTCAACGCGTGATACTTTCTGAAGAGCCAATTTATATAGTTTATACAGTGCTTAGTTGCAATGCATTATATTAAAGGGAAGCTCTGCTATTGAATGTATTTAATGAGACCATAGATACACACCCAAAGCATGCAGCTATAATGTGGCTTACCGACAGAGATGTGACTGTGTAGTTGAACCTGCATGTCCCCGTCAGGAACATTCCTGTGTATTATTACAGCTGCAGCTACTTAAACAAAGGGAAAGTCATGAGTACCAAATATAGTTTCATTGTCTAGTTTCTGCATACTGCTGAGGAGGATTACAAAGAGCTGCATCCTGATTCCATACAAGATCACGCAGTTTGGAGAATCTTTGTCAAAATTTCCATTTAAATCAAGTAATTGCAAAAATATTTCTCTTTATAAACAACAGTCTCATCCATTTAAAATTTCAGACATTAAAAAGAGACTGATGATAAATTAAACGTGTGACAGTGCAAATGTTTGAGGTAACAACAATATAATAAAGGTAGAAAACATTCTTATAATGTACAACCAATGCTTGAATTAATGCAGGATCTGTCATTAATAATAATAATAATAATAATATGATTAATAAGTGATCAAATCACTTTTAGTGTGTGAATAGTTAATGCTTAATGGATCATCAATTAATAAACATTAGCTCACAGTTATAAATATTTACTTTTATGCCACCAAATAGCTAGATTCCAGTTAGAAAAGGGTATTCCAAGATGAACTCCAAGGTAGAAGGGCAGTACTTGAATTTCAGTACAACGTTTCCTTTTTAAAAAGTATTCTCAGGAAAGACATATTCAGTATTTCAAATAAGAACAAATCATGAAGTTCTTTCTTGTTGTATTTGTTATATGGCATTACACAAACATAACTAAACAAAGCTTTTTCACTTAACAGGATAAACCATTACTTACAGAATGTTATAGAATGTTATCCAAATCATGCAACAGGCAGAACTACTGTGCTGTTAAATAAATATGTCCTTTACATTATTATTATCATGATATATGTTTGCATTGTTTATAAATACACACCATTCTCTGACAGGCTCTGCAGAGGTAAGAGCTGCATTGTGAAATGGCTCTTCTCATTCTACTTGTTTTACTTTTCACACCAAACCTACATTTTCTTGACTTTTGACACGAAACACAATTGGTTTCATTCCTCAGATTTATGATTAGAGACAGACAGACAATGAATTAAACACAATACTGCCTTACCGTACACAATGTTTTTTCCTGCTTGTAACATGACCCATACTGCACTGGAGATGATCCAGACACCTTGCACCGAGCTAAACAAGACTAAACTGAAATTAATGAATTCCAGAAATTTTAATTTAATTAAAATCAGTTTTATGTATTTTGCAGATGTACATCATATGTATATAAATATGTGAACCTACATGAAAATGGTTTGGGACACAACATTAATGTCAGCTTTGTGTCTGCCACAAACACAGAGTTAGCAGTGTTGTTCTTCTATTTTGTGAAAGCAAGGGAAACAGTCTTCACTGCAGATCAGGGCAGATAGGAGTGCATATGAGGAAACACTTCAAACGAGCAGATTCTCCTGTTTCATCTGCAGTGTACCAGAAAGAAGCATGCAGACAGGACAAAAGAGGCCAAGACAATGACGATGGTCTTTCTCTCTCTCTCTCTCTCTCTCTCTCTCTCTCTCAAACACACACACACACACACACCTACACTTACAGACACACACAACACACACAACACACACACACACCACAATAATGATCAGCAACCACATTTTCTCTACTCTTCTCTCAATCATCTCTTAATACAAAATATTAACTAGATGTTAGAAGATAATGAAAACTAACTAAAACAATACTGTGTAGTTACATACAAACTAAAATAAAATACAAAATAAACAGGAAATGTCTTTGATTTTGAGACGGCGATGTGAATGACTGTGAGTAAATTGCCTTCACAAAGTGTTGTATTATTAA